GAGCGGATCGGGTGCCAACCGAGTTGAAGTGCCATGAAGGCCACATTTATAACGGGCCATTGCCTAAGCATCGAGTAATTTCGTCAGTTGTCAGCCATCCAAGGCACGGCTTCTAGAGCACCGTGATAGATTCCAGCTCGTCGAAATATGCGCTGAGCAAGTCGACCTCATCCTCTCTTCCCCTTCTCAGATATCAGTCCGCGGTCCAAGCCGGTTAGTCCATTGATGCAGCGATTGTGATGACAGAGCTAAAACAGCTCGCTTATGCATGCCACAGAAGATGTGGCCTGCAGAGCATTTATCCGGCTTCTGTAAAAGGGGCATGAATCTCACATCAGTGAGGGCGCCATAAAGGTCACATTGAGGGGGAGTCATTGCAGTCTGCCTCTCAGAACTCAAATGGACTGAGTTATCCCGTCGGTTGGGAACACGAGTGACTAGAGGCTCAAGCACGGCAGATTTATTGTACTGAGAAATTCACTGATATCCTACGAGGATGGATTCCACTTCCCTTCCACCTGTATCGGTTAACCGTACGAGCCTATCAGCCTTCTGGCGCTGCAGTTTGGCGCGGTGACCGACAGGGCTTAGCGGCCAGTACACGGCATGCTTTTCCTTACGATTTTCGTGCTCCATATCGGCTTTGGTAATGTTGATTGTATGCTTGCCTCAGGAATGTTGCGTAGTGTTTAGAGATTTTTGTCACGTACGCGTGTGTTGTGGAGAAGGATTCTTCCCCAGCCTAGGTGGGTTTGTGTGGGTTGAACGCGGTGCTGTGATGGAGGCTGGAGTGCGTCGTTTTACTGAAGAGTTTCATGGAGACGCATATGGCCGAATGGGCCCCGAACGATGGCCGAATGAACTAGGCAGTGTGGACAGACGAGGAGCAAGTGACAAGTGTGCGTAGTGGCTCCCGACAGTGGTTTCAGGTCTTGCAGCGATGGATTTCCAAGTGCGCCAACAAGCTGATGCGTGTGGCCACAACGGGGGAGGTTGAAACTTAGTTCACTGTTAGTGGGAGGACGATAGTTGTACTGTTTGACAGGATGACAGGAGACTATTCCCTGTTATTTCTTGTGCTGGACGGAAGGCTCTTTGGTGATGTTGATGGTGCATTGGAACTGGGGTCGATCCGTCCCCGGAGTATCCATTTGCAATTTGAACGCAATGACCAAGGTTGGATGTTTGCGTCGTTTGTCCGTGGCACGTGAATCTTAGAAGCCACTATGTTCATTTTAGCAGCTACTCCTCGGATGCCTCCACAGTTGGTTGCTCCATTTTCGACGGCATAGAACTAGGCCTGGCTATTTTGAACAAGGTCCTCCCGGGTCTTCGGGTTGATTAGAAGTTCTTTTGGGGAGGCCGCCAAGCTGTCTTTATAAGGAAGTTTTGCGCTCTCTGTCGACAAGCATCCTAGAGTTAGTGGTTGAAGCCAATTGCGGCAGGCTAACGGTACTTTGAAGGTATGTTTTCGACTGCCGAATCTTTTGGTATGTAAGGTGATGCAGCCCAGTTTTTCAAACACCACGCATTTCGGGATGGCGTGTTCTATGTTTTATTGTGCCGAAATTCCGAGAGATGCTGTATGAGCGGATTGTGCAGTCGCTCGAGGACCTGGATGAGGTCATTATAAAGTTCAGTCGCGTAAGGTTAGGCCGAGGTAACTTTCTAGCATTACAAGGTCAAGGATTCTTACAAGGAATCGGCGGGAGTTGTGTACGCTTAAAGGCTTGTCCAGGCCAGTTAGAAATGCTTGTGCATCCTGGCCCTAACAAAGAGGTATGGCCGTAACTAATTATAGTATATTTCAACTAATATTTGTGTTGGGTACGATTCTGTATTTCCGTGGGATCGACAGAACACATAACGCAATCAAAATTTAGAACGATCGTGATTCCATGCCCTCCGGAGAGATCAGCAAGACCAGTATTTTCAAAGATCATGGCTTGAGAACTTCCTTTCGCTAAGTTCGTCCTCCCTGAACAGTTAGTGCACTGGCATATCACTAATATGTACGTTGCAATCCAAGAACATGTGCAGTGTTCGCTAATTCGTTTTTAAAAGGCTCTTAGAGAAGACATGTTTGATAAGAAAGGAAACATGCGGGCGTGGACTAGGTGATACGGAAAGGCGGATGAATATATTTTTACTATTTCGGAAATTCCAGACTTTCAACACAAATTTAACGGTGTATCACAATACCAGACACTTATGCAGCCCTCCAAAGTGCTGGAGAGTGAAATATAAGTATTTCTGCTGGGCTTATTGCTGCGTGGCAGATATGGAGAATAAAATTCACACAAGAAGACTAAGTTGTATATTTTCCAGTCGAATAAAAACTAGTCAGGATAACGAACTCCGGCTGTTGAGCACTTCTCACTACGGCTGAATTGAAAGTTGAACTGTGTGCGAGGACAATTTACATGCGACGTAATCACGTCTGACATCGGTGTCTGCATAGCCAAAATTTCGCAGCTTTAAAGCTGATGAAGACATACGCATAGCTCTGTACATACACGCTCTTAATACGTCAAAGTCGAAGTCGTTTTCCGGAACTTAGGTCTTACGTCCAGAAAAATTTATTTTCATATGAGCGTCTGGGGGCCCACCATGATCATACACGCGTTCTTACCTTCAGACTAGAATGGGGAGTTTTAATCTTGTTTGCAGGCGGTGGCGCGGGTCATACTGACTGTTTGCAGGGTGTAATAAATGTTTTGGATTCGAAAGAAACCGAGTAATCCGGGCGTCGCCGAAAGTATATTAATTAACATAGGCATATTGCATCGCTATGCCGGAGGCTTACAGCCCACACTTTGGAAGTTTTTTCCCAAACATCTTAATATTAGCAAAGTGGTCCGCATAGGTAGTGAGTGGGCGGGTGCGTGTAATCAGCTGCTTTTCCCGAAATGGGAGCTACGTGCGTTTGAAAATCGTCTTGGCGTTGTCTTGTCATCAGAGCCAAGTGGAAGGGAGGTGTGAGGGTGCGGTAGATGCTGCGAAAGTCTGCCTCCCCACGAACTAATTCTAAAGAGTACGGTGTGAAACCCCCTGTGGTCACTCATAATCCCGAGCCACAGACGGTCGCAGATTCTGAAAAACAGGTTGCCTCCTTTCACTGAGGCACTGAAGTACAGCAAGGCGATAAATTACATGGAGTCCTTTCTCGATAAACTCGGAAATTTTGAAGCATTCGATTCAGTAAATTGCTTTCATAAATATGAAGCCCTCACCGACAAAATCGCTTACAAAAGTCCCTCCGGCTCCCAATAACAGCCGTCAGTCTACCCCACAGAGGCTGGAGAAGACGAGGGGAAAGTCGACGAGGGTTTGGTGATTAAGTATTGCGTTATGAGCAGGAAAGGCTATGTGTTGTGCAAACATAATGGAGCGGGACATGTGGAGTTCGTACTGGTTGACGCACGACGGTGACATTTATATTCGCTGTCGACCATGCGGAAAACCACCAATAATAACTCTTTTTGCAGGCAGTGGATCGACTTCTAGTGCGCCTACAGTTTGTAGGTATAAAAAGCACCGACGAGCTGGCAGGCTTTTCGAAGATGAAAACTGCCCGTGGTCAGTTGTCGTCTTCATTGCCGTGCCACATGACATTATGTTCGCAAAACGCGCAGCGCTGTTGAACTGCAACGTACACGTCACTAAAGCCACGACACTGAACGAACTGTATGCCTAAGGGAGGAATCGATGAATACTGTTCATGAAAAAGTAGCTCAAAGATTTATAAAACAGTCAAATTATTACATTCCTGGTCACGTGAAGATGACATGTTTAATAAAAATCAGTGGTCGTTTTATCTTCCCAGGAAAACACAAATCACAAACTGAATAAGAACACACCGAGAGTTCAAACGTCGAGTTCGACGATTTCCACCGTGTGCTCCACAACAGTGTAAGAGGAGGGACGATGGCTTGCGCGTGAATTAGTTTATAGTGTTCGCAGATTTTCGAAGCATCTTCCGCACTCTCTCTACCCCAATCCCCACCTGGGACCGGTGTCAAGACAGAGTCAAGAAACCCGGAGGCGGGTGAGGGCGCAGGTGAATTGCACGGTCGAGCCCGCATCTTGACGTTCCACTACACCCTCTGGTTCACAAAGCAAACTTGACCACTATTTTAACTAACAACGACGAAAGAATGGAGGCTGGCACGGCCGAAGGCACACCTTGGCATGCCGCCACACCCGGTTCGGATTACACGGAGTGCGAATGTCAAAAAGGCAACAGTAAGAAGGAGTCATTTCAACCTGAAACTCAGACGACCAGCCGGCCACTCCACACAAACACACAACACTGGGCCGACTTCGAGGTCCAAGTTATCCCGCCAGTTGGCAACCTTCCAACCCACGGCTTTTAGCGTGTCGTGACAGCTTCAAGTGCGTCAGATTGTTTATAGTGAGGAGAATGCGATGAGTCGTCGACCTCACTTTCCCTTCCCATCCCCATTTCCCAACCACTGTCCGAGCTCGTCAGTTGACTGACGCAGGAATTTGGCGCGATGGCTGACATAGTCTAGTAACCGTGTCTGCGCGCGCCACATGCACGACCTGGCCCCTTAACTGCAAGGATAAGGGTGTAACATAACGGGGGCTGAGCGGCATACATCTCACATGCGTGGTCACGTTTGGAGGGAGCCGTTTCAGCCTGGCTCTCAGCTCCACCAGTCCGCCACTCCACACATACACACAACTGAACAGACTGCGTGGACTGAGTTGGAGCGTCAGGTCAGCAGCCTTCCAAGCCACGGCGCTTGACACGCCGTGATAGTCTCAGGCTTGAGTCACACATGCAGCAGGAGTCGCACGGAGACCGTGTCGAGGCGCGCACTTCCTACTTGCGCAGGAGGTGATAATTGGATGCTTGTGGTGGGTGATGCTGATATGCATTGTGATGCTGGTGAGGTGGTTGTTATTGTATGGTGCATCCAACGGTTGTCTGCCGCATGGCCAAATAGGCCCATGCGATGCGTTAAAGTGCGGGCTCAATGTGGGCAGTGAAGCCGAGTGCGGTGGGTGTTGGTTGGTGCTTCAGACATTGGTTCACCAGTCTCTGTGCGATGGATTCGCAAGTGATCGACCAGAACGATGCGTGAGATGAAGGTGCGGTCGCAATGAGGACAGGTACAATCCAGGTCCTCATCTTTGGTGTCGTCGATAGCGGTGTTGGTGTTTTTTGGTGTGTCAGGATTGTGCTTAGTGTTGACGGGCATGACAGACGGGAGAGCGGCAGATGTTGAGACGATGGAGAAGGTGGTGGAGGAGGATGAGGAGGAGGTGGCGGTGGTGGTGTATAAAGTGGAAACCACACCAAGAAGGGATAGGTCCCAACAAGCATCACAAAACTCCAGGAAATCGTCGGACGACCTCATAATTTTGTGGTACAGAGAATGTTACTCTCTTGAAGACATGTAGCACTCCATACTGCATTCAACACATACACAACAGTTCGACCGTCGCTGCGGACGTTGTCCACCGTGTGCTTCACTGGGAGGTGAAGCAGACACGATGACTTGCGCGTGAATTAGCTTATATTGATAGTAGACTTGCGCAGCACCCACCGCACTGTCCCATTCCCACTTCCCACCTGGACCCGGTGTCAAGGCAGAGTCAAGAAGATCGGAGGTGGGAAACGGCACAGATGGATGGCACGGTCGAGCCCGCACCTGGGCGCTCCACTCTACACCCCCTGGTCCACACAACAAATTGCCAGCTTTTTGACCAACAACAGCAACACCCCAACAGGGGTCAAAAAACGAAGATGACGACTGGGCAGCTATGCCCACCACCTGTATACCCCGCGGGAGGCAAGCGCATCTACCGTCAGGGGACCAGGTGTCACGGAGACACACACACAAGAGAACATTCTTTATCCTGTATCCTGGCGCTTGCGACAATAACAAGCTCACGCGGATGTAACCATCGACGCGCCAGTGTTTTTCACCTACGTAATCAAACAGTAGACCACCCAGCCCGGTCAGTAAACGCTGTATGTGAAGGCTGTGGGATCCACCTGTAAATCTCCCCGAGAACGAACGAAGATGTCTTGAAAAATGATAGTGTAAACGGCTAATAAAGCACCTGTCCAGGCGATCGTGTCTCCTTCTTCAAGGTTAGGATACCGTAGAAAGTAGAGACGAAAGCCTACAGTTGTGGTTGGAGAGAAGATAATTTCTTTGGCATTGAAGGATTCAATACGGAAACTGAAGCTTGCGCCTAGTGACTTACTAGGGAAGGTGGGTGAATCTGCAATGAGGCTGAAAACGAATACTTCGAACCTGGTCTATGTCCAGGTCGTTTCTTGATCCATCAATAGACCTACTTATATACAGTCGTTGGCCTTCGTTGCTGTTATCCCACCTCAGTGTTCATGTGAGTCAATTCAAGATACACATTTGCAGTAGTTGTGTAGGAATAAGCCAAGAATCGGAGCCACAAGTCAATGGGGTAAAACGACGGGACTCCCACAAGACGGCAAAAAGTTTTTAGTTTTTTTTAGTATAGTAGATGATCCATCACCGTCAGGTATCCACACACATGTCTAGGTGCCAAAGATGGCAATTTCATTCTCTCTCATAATTTACTCCCATTGGAAGAATCAAAATAAAAATTAAATTATGCATTCATTTTGCAACTCACACGGAATCCTCCTCATAAAAGTTCTCCGCACTGTCGTATAAGCAGAAGCTCAACCCGTTGAAATCCCCAAGATCTTATTTATACTCCCGTTGGCATGGGCCTAGGGGCCAACAAATGCGTGACGCGCCTCTAAAGGGAATAAACCGACCTAGTTATCGTGTTCACGCCTGTTTGCGGTCCTTCTACCTTGTCCAGTCATTAACATGTGGAGAGTGTTGAGAGAGAGAGAGAGGGAGAGAGAGGAAGAACATATTTCGCACACTGCCCTCACCACAGACCAGTGCACGCGCAAGTCACCGCTGTGCCCTTAGCACAGAGCCGGACACCATTAACTAGGCACGAAATGTCTTGTGTTGAAGGGCCTATGGGAGGAGACCTTAATGACCCTATTAATGTACATCCAGTGTAATTTTATACGCTGCGGTAAGGAATGCTATCAGTTACAGCGTGGTTGATGGCTTTATCTTATATGCTGTGGTTAAAAAGTAGTGTGAAAGAACGGTAAACTACTAATAGCGTTTGGAGCCCTGATTGTAGATGGCGGAAAAAATTACGGTCATAAAGGCGCTAACCACGGCGGTTATTAAATCCATGTCGGATTTAGATGTTGCAAACCCAAGAGCCAATTCATAAACAGCCAGTGAAATGAGGACGCTAGAAAGTAATTCTCCTACAGCTGTAGGATCCGATCCTCAGGGGGTATTCAACTAAACATCACACACGGTAGTCAATAAGTGGAGGCGGCAGTTCGAGTTTCAGGCCTGTTATCTCCGCGACCAGTCTGTGCAAAATGGGTATGTGAAGACATTTATAAGTCGCTGCCTACGCAGTCGTCGTCAAGATGGCTAAACAGCAACACCAGGGATGCGACATTCTCTGCCATACATGAGGGACGTTTCCAAAGCGACCGAGCTGATTACAGCGGAACTAGGTGTTGGAACTGCACACCGGCCCAAAACCACCATGCGCAGGAAGGTCATGAAAGTTAAAGATAGGCTAAATCCCGAGGAACAATCTGGAATAGTGTATCGCATTTCATGTCAAAGCGGTCCTTGCAAATACACAGGTCAGAACGAGCGAATGCTTGTATCGCACATGCCCGAACATAAGCTGTATGTGTGAAGACGCGACGAATGATCGCAAAGGATTGCCCACACCTACGAAATGGGTCATGAGTTTACTTTCGCAGCCCACGCCGAAAGCAAAACGGGGCGTGAAATGATCGAAGCCTGCGCCCCGAATGAGGATTCCGTCAACCGATTTGCCGATCTGACGCCGGTGTACAGAGTTCTGAGCAATCACCTCTAGTCTTGCACTATTGTTCGATGATTGGCTAGCACGCCATATAATTTTTGCTTGTTCTGTTGTTGCTGCTATCTCTGACGGGGGAATTTTGCGCACGTTCAGAAGCTCAGAACTACGAACAGACTGTTTCGGTCCTAAAACAGTCCTCTGCACTTATAGTCATTAGGAGAACATTAGGATCAAGTTGATTATTAGCATGGATAGTGCAAACCATGATAAAAGTGGCGAAGACGAGCTCATAATCTTGACCGGCACACGAGCGCATAGCAACTGCTTACTTCAACACCTGGCCAGTCGAACGATGGTGCACTTGAGAGCTGCCAACTCTGATAGGCATGTGGCGGCCTAGCAACTAAATCCTATAAATGCCGCAACACCTGGGCAATTTAGCACCCTTATCTGACTATGTCTCTGATGATGCATTCGAGTGAGAATCCGAAACGCCAGGCTGATAAAGCTCTTGTTCCAGCGATGGCGTCTCCTTTTTCGCAACTCATGATTAGGCCTCCTCCGAGAGAATGCCGAAACCGCAGCTTACTCGCGAAGTACATCAGGTGGAAAAGGTAAAAATGTCTCGTATGAAATCGACCGGGGTGTAGGGGTGTCCAGTTGTGGGGCCACGTGAAGGCCAAAGTAGCTCATTCACATGCTTACAGGTGTTGACTACGGCCAGCGTCCATTAACTAGCACCCAACTCTCACCCGTGGCTCAACCCAGCCAGGCCCTACCTAGCGGCCGCAACCTCGTAAGCGCCTCGACTGGAGGGCTAAACCAGGCGAGGGTATCTGCTTATGCATTTCCACACACTTTGCTCCCCCTGCTTCTCCTTCCTTTCACTCCCACCTTCTCCTCACCCCCTCTCCCCCCCTTTACACTCCCACTTCACTCGCTCCATCGTCTTCCCTTTCTCCCTTATCCTCCTCCTCCACTCATTTTTCTCCACCCTTCTTCTTCTTGACTTCCCCATCCCGCCTCCTCCCCACCCTCCTCCTCCACCTCCTCAGAACTTGTCCTCCCTTCTCCCCCCTCCCCTTTCCCTCCCACTCCCCAATCTCCACTCCCTACACTCTATCCAATCCTCAGTCGTACGGCTGACAAGCCCTATGGCGAGGGCGACATGCAATCCCGTATGCGGACCAGGCCATTGGTCGCTCTCTCACCGAAGCCCGTGGCCCACAGTGTAGTTCGGCAGCCGCCTGGGACAACTGAGCAGCCCTATATAGGTAGGGCACTGCCCAACCCCGCGAGGGGAAGGGGCCGCGCCCGCACAGACCATGCTGCCTGGAGAGGAGTGCTGGACTATGTCCTCGTCCGGTGACGAGGCCAGCGGGACGTGCCGGCGATAAATGCGATCCCGGGTGCCGACGGGTGGACCGACCATCGCCTCGTCACCTCGAAGATGCGGATTCGCTTACAGCCTAGCAAGAGAACTAAAGGTAAATGGCCCCCAGGTAAGCTGAACATGGATTCGTTGTCTTTGCCTGCTCACCCTCTCCATTTCAGCAATGAGCTAGCTCAGCGATTAGCCAGCCTTCAAGTCGCCGCGCCGCCGCCGCCGCCGCTGCCGCCGACGACGACGATGAGAATACCTCCGTGGGGAACCGACAGCGACAACTAAGGGCACACTCCAGTCGACCGCTATGTCTGTCCTCTGTCGCACACGCCGCCAAAATCAGGATTGTTTCGATAACGACGACGCCGCCATCAGCAATATGATCGCCGAGAAGAATTGTGTGCGCAAAACCTACGTCAACCGCCGTATCGACGACAACAAAGCAGCCTTCTACCATGGCCGCCGCCTTGTGCAACAGCGGCTCCGCGAGATGCTGGACGCTTGGACAGGTCGCAAAGCTGAGGAGATCCAAGGGTACGCGGACTGCAACGAATTGAAGAACTTCTTCGCCGCGATCAAGGCTGCCTACGGTCCCACAGCCAAAGGAACTGCTCCTCTTCTCAACACCAACGGAACCACTCTACTTACTGAGAAGACACATTTTAAAGCGATTGGTCGAGCACTACCGAGGCCTTCTCAACCGTGCTTCCACTATCTTCTACGCCGCCATCGCCCGTCTGCCTCAGGTGGAGACGGACGCCGAAATCGACCTTCCACCCTCTCTCCTCGAAACCATCAGTGCCGCGCAGCATCTCTCCAGCGTGACAGTGCCCGGATCGGACGCCATGCCTGCTGAGATCTACAAGAAGGGTGGCCGCCAACTCATGGATAATCTGACGGCGCCCTTCCAGGAGATGTGACGTCTAGGAGAGGTCCCTCAGGACTTCAGGAACGTCGGAATCTTCCATCTCTAAAAGCAGAAAGGTAATCGCCAGTTTTGCGACAACCACCAAGACATTTCCTTGTTGAATACCGCCAGGAAGATCTCCGCTCGCATCCTTCTCAACCGTCTCAACAGCCATCGGAAAACGAACTCCTCCCGGAAAGCCAATGCGACCTCTGTCGTCATCGTAGGACCACAGACATTATCTTCGCAGTCCAAAAACTTCAGGAAAAATGTTAGGAGATGTGAACCCACCTGTACTACACGTTCGTGGATCTGATGAATGCCATCGGCACAGTGAATCGTGGAGGACTGTGGAAAATCATGTAGAAATTTGGCTGTTTCGAACTATTCACTCAGACGATGCGTCCGCTCCACGATGGCATGACGGCGCGCGTCACGGACAATGGACCCATCTCAGAGGTGTTCTCAGTGACCGACGAGGTGATGCAGGGCTGCGTCCTCGCGCCTGCCCTCCTCGGTCTCATGTTCTCTCTCATGCTAATGGATGACAAGAGCCCGGGGATCTGCGTTACCTACAGGACGGACAGCCGACTCCCCAACCACTGGCGGATGCACTCCTAGTCGCGTACATCTACAAGTACCGTCCATAAACTTCTCTTCGACGACGACTGTACCCTCAACGCCACCTCGAAAGGGGACATGCAAAGAAGCATGGGCTTCTTCGCCGCCGCCTGTGAAAAACACGGCCTGATCATCAACACAAAAAACGGTGATTATGCATCAACCGCCAACCACTGCCGCCTACGATGCACCCCAAATCAACGTGAACAGTGTCCAACTGCAAGCCGTGGACAACTACGTGGGCAGCACCCTCTCTCGCAGCGCCAAAATCGACAACGATGTGGCCCACCGGATTTCCAAGGCCAGCCAAGCTCTTGGCCGTCTGCATAACACAGTCTGCAATTGTCACAGTCTCCACCTCAGCATAAAACTGATGATGTACAAAGCAGTCATCTTGACGACGCTGCTGTATGGAGCGGAGACCAAGACGGTCAACAAGAAACAGGCGCGAAGACTCAACCGCTTTCATCTCAGCTGTCTTCGACGGATACCAAAGCTGAGGTGGCAGGACCGGATCCTGGACACGGACGCACTGGAACGGACAGGCATCCTCAGCATCTACGCCACGTTGAAACAATTGCAACTGCGCTGGATCAGCCATCTCATGCGGATGGACGACGAGCGGCTACACAAACAGGTCTTCTATGGAAATATCGTCATGTGTTATCGTCGACAAGGCGGTCAAGTCCGGCGCTACAATGATACTCTGAAGACCTCCCTGAAGCGCCTGAAAATCAATCCGACCAACTGGGAGGACATTGCCCGAGACCAACCCACCTGGACGAGAGTTGTGAAGACAGATGCAGCGATCTACGAGACAAACCGCATCGCCACCACGAAAGCCAGACGAAAAGTCTACAAATTTTAGCTGCGCTCACCTCGCAAAGCCAACGGCCAACCACCCCCAACGTGTCCTCGGTGTCAGCGGACTTTCCGGGCACCAATCAGACTTACCGGACGTCTTCGTACTAACTGCAGCACCCGGACGGCACCAAACGATGTCCCTCGTCCTCGTCCCCTACATCAACAATCAGCCCCAACCGCGCTCCTGATCTTCCATTACCATCCTCTACCATCCGAACAATTTCTGCAGCGTCTCCTGCCCCCAGCGCCACTGCAGGCAACCCTGATGCACCGTCAAACATCAACCTCCTCATCGCCAACACCAGCAATGTGAACCGGTCCACACCTATCCCCGTTGCGATTGCACATTTACCTCACACATCTGCCTGGTCGGTCACTCGCGAATTCATCGCGCAGAGACAGGCGAACCATTGCCTGGAACACCAACGTACATTCACTGCATCCACCTCCAATTTCCACACTGTCCCAGGCACATTCACTCACCGTATGAGCCTACTAGGCCACATGCGAATTCACCAAAACCTGCGGTAGCTAACCTCCGGCTACACGACACCATTACACCTTCACCCATCAGCACCCGCAACACACATCAACATTACCTATCGCAAGCACCCCTCCCCACTTGCCACCTCCCACGCAAGTGGGAAGTGTGCATCACGGTTGCTTCTCCATGCAGCTGCTCTGATGGATGAGTGATCCGATTTTGAGACTATCACGGTGCGTAAAGCGCCGTGGCTTGCAATGCTGCCGTCTGACGTCCCAATTCACTTAACGCAGTCTGCCCAATTGTGTGTGTTTGCGTGGATGGGCGAACTGGTTAGCCGAGAGCCGGGCTATCACGGCTCCTCAACGTGACCTACGGCATTCTCACCCGTGTGAAGATTATGTGTGTACTTTTGGTTTAGTGCCTCCCAATCGGTGACTGATCTGTTACCCAGCCTTTGTAGGTAGGTTGCCGGCTCCCGCTAAATGCAGGGCTGCGTGTCACTCTTTGGAGCCACAAAGTATGTATACTTTTGTTATGTTATGGTCGACAAACCATGATTCGATGCCGTTGCTAGCTCTAGCTTTAGGTCCTAGTCCCTTTTTAACAAACTGAACGAGATCAAAGCTGATGCCTATGAGCAAAATCCCATGCAATTATATTAACGAAAACGTCGTTGACTGAAGAGATTAAAACAAAGGAATTTTCTATTGAGGACTATCTAGAATGATTGGGCGTCAAGTGATGGTGCTTTTTCCGCTCTCAGTAGGAAATAGTCAACGAAATATGACGAATTATATAATTGTCCAATCAAGGGCTGACGATTGCTGAATCGTAACCAGCGTTTTGCCAACTGATCTCCAGACACGAGTGAATACTCAAACATTTAATCCATTAAGGTATGAAAAGGGATATGCATGCAGGTAAACTTTATTCTTGGACAATTTTAAGCCACTGTAAATAGATCGGAAAATCAGAGGATGGAAAGGGGAGTCGAAGAAGATGCGAACACCGTGGCCCACCACACCTTCACAGTTGACGAGGCCGGCATTACTACTAGAGGTGACGACCGCGTGGGCCGCGGCCTACTGCTCCAGTCATTCTTTCCCGGCCCTCAGTCGATTAACAAGTTCAGTGATCTCCTGCTTCCATGATTTGCCCCTGGTCTGTCCGGCGAGAAGAAAAAGTCACGTACGGAAGACCCGGGCAGCCAACAATTCCAGCGGCTGTGAGCCAAATCGCTGAGTAATTATCATGTCAAAATCATGAAATTACCGCAGTTAACGACCCGGATGCAGACTAAAAGACTACCACCGCATCAAATGCAACTCCCAGCGGTTAGAGCTGGAGGCGTTTATTCTGGTAGACATGTGTTGGTATAGCAACTGCGCACTGTAAATACTGCGCTCCTTGCGTCCCCATCATCTTCATTTGTGACTGTCTCTGATGGTGGGTTTGAGTGAGAATCTGAGACAGTAGACCAATAAACTTCTTGATCCAACGATCGTACTCTGCCTTTTCATTTCTAACAGAAAATCGGAAAATCGTTATTGCAAAAGCACTGTGACACTCTTTGACTGTAAAGTGTTAATGTTTTCTGTCAGCTACCCACTCATTTAGTGGGACTGATAGAAGAACAGCCTTTCACCTGCTTTTATCCCGTCGTCTTTAATGAGATAGCTATGTAGAAAGTGGACCCTCTACCAACAGTTAGAGTAGGCGTTTATACGATCCTTTTCGTCTTCTCCACTAACGAAACTCAAAAAGAAACGGGATCTTGACAGAGACAACTTAGGCGCAATGGGGTGAGCCGTTTTGAGGAAAAGTTGGTTGGTTAACATGAGCGAGGATGAATGCTCCTGGCAGTGTCTCCTGTAGCGTTTAACGTGACTACCCTAAAACTACTGTCCTGTTAAAGTATTAAAATCCCGTCCTGGGCCTAAGCGGACCAATTTGACTATAAAAAGCGCAAATAAGGGATGGAAATGCTGGAGGAGCATTCGGCAGTTCACAACCTCAGTAATATTCGAACACAAGAAGCAGGGCAATGAAGGCCAGAAACTAGCACGAATTTCAAAAACCTCCTTTCGAATCCAGCTGACAGTAGAAGCTACCGCATACCCGGAGACGGCTTACGGGTACATCTGAGGCAGTAGGATGTACATGGATAAGATTGTGTGTCCCATAGATAATACGGGAGACGTATTTCCATAGAAGACCTAGAATATAAGATGTCAGTCCCAGTGTAATGCTCAATGGATTTGACTGAGTTGTCTAGGTGGAATAACAACACTTTGGCGCTGACCCAGGATGGGAAGGGTGCAACCACGTGTCTGTGAAGATGGCCGATGTTCCTTCCTTCTCAATCATTGACTTTTCCTCCCGTTGACACTCAACAACGCTCTCTTCTCTTTTCTGCGCTAGCAACTTCCACGGTCCTCTCCCACAGTTTCCTACAGCGCTACGTTTCCCGCAGGCAGTCTAACCGACATGACGGGCCCATCTCCCATTCCAGATGGGTCGTTTGTTCATGTAACACCATGTCCTCCTGCTTTAGTGTATTGCTTTTTTCGATTAGATCTGCTTATTTTCAGTAACATGGATTGCATACGCTTCAGGATCTACTTTAATTATATCCGCACATGAGTGTTTAATATGGTGTTTGACAATCATCTTCAGCGCTTTTATAGACGGAAAACTATCTCAAATGTTCTGTTCAACCATATATCGTCCTCGATGTCATTTCTACTACTTCAGTTCTTTCAGTGTGTGTTTGCGCGGAACATCGGAGGTAACTCTAGGTATTCAGATATGTTGCTAGTGCTGTGTATGTCCTGGGCCCAAGCAGGACAGCGACGCCATATAGCTTCTCATCTTCACTGTCGAAAGCATCAGACCAGTTCTGAGTCGGATGATAAACGGGCAAATTTCATGAGCCGCATGGAATTCGTGGATTATGCTTCACTGACACACCTGTAGAGCCAGCGCAGCATCCTTCCTCGTACCCTGAACTGCCGAAGCGGACAGAAAGCATGTCCGCACAAATTGAGCAACCATGACATCATCAAAAATTCCCGAGTTGTATATCGATATTCCTATTTGACCAAAAACATCTTGATTTTGACGAAGACGATCAGTTGTGCTGGGTAAACTTAATAATTCCATGTCCTCGGCATTCAGCTCCCAGAAATATAGCCTTGATTTTGTGCAACAGTGATGACATTATTGGTCTCAACTGTGGTTAGATCGCATATGCCAATGACGCTAGGCTCTGACAAGTCGGCATTAGCCTAACTATAAACTAACCCTGCGAGATGGTCGCTTTATTTACATGCGCAAACGTGCACTGACCTTCGTTTACACCCAACCAATCCCCATTCGTTCATGATCGGGATTCGTGGGACCTGGAAGAAGCTCGGCTGCTGTGCAGAACGCGCATGACACAATGGTACGTAATCCTACATTGTTTTCTTATCTTTATATTATTCCGTCTTGCAAATTATGTCATAAGCAACTGCTAGAAATCGTCCTTAATAGAATAAGTTATGTCATGAGAATGCAATTTACCACTTCTAACTGTTTTTTGCAAGTATAACTGAACGTTCCCGTTCGCCGTTTGCTGCTCTGTGCTCGACGTTGTGGCGAACCGTAAATACCTGGAATTTCTTCCGGCTGTTACTTGCGTACAAGCGAGTAATTTATGGGAGAGCGACGAACTAAACAGCGAGGATACACCTTTCCTTTCCTGGTAGATTGTCGATGGTGAACTATTCACCTGAATTGGTAATACCAAAACGAGGACCTAATAGACACGCGGGTAGTTATTTTACGAGTGTAAGTCATTCGAGGGCCAGTTGTAACTCGCACGATCTGTAGGGGATTGAGTCGATGAAAGGACACGTTCGGCGCGGATCCGGGATGGTGGTGTAACTGTGTGCGGGCAAAAATAGTCGGCGCCTTTCCCTTCCGACAACTCGCCGCAACTCTCTCCTCTCCCTCTACGTCGACACCTCCCATGGCTCTCCCATGCAATTTCTCACAGCCATACGTTGCCCACCGGTTGTTTAATAGGCATTTCAGTGTCATCTCTCCATCCAGACAGATCACCACCTTGTTGTAACTCATCCTATGTGTACAATTAACCATTATCATATATGCCCGGTATCCTTCTGTTCCTGTTATACATTATGGCCACCTAATTCTTATTTTCTCCTTCGTATGGATGAGTATAATGACGCTTTCACAACTCTATTCATATCGGTCTTAGTGAGAATTTACTCCTTTACTGACTCAGTGTATGCTACCCTTGACGTCTTTGGACGCTATAAAGAGCTGGGGCAGTATGGTTGAAACGCGAATGCAGCCAACGGTGGACGTTTTGTACCTTGTCTGCAAGAGTCCTGATTGAAGAAGCGCATGCCACTAGCTGTACACAGGATGGTGTTCGAGCTGCTTCACCCACACCACCTAGAGGTGACGGAAAGCTCCTAAAAACTTTTCACATAAATGGATCAATGAAG